TAAATGCACAGGTTATCTACATAAGTGGGGTGATTGCCTTTGAGTCCTGCTTTGACTGTGCTCTAGAATATGAGGATTGGTCTAGTCAACATGGGATTGTTTTGCTATCAGTGAACATTGTATTTCAAACTCTGTTAAGTGTTCTAAACTGGCACTTGACTGTAGGGGGCAGGAAGAACAGGTTTTCTATGCGCAGGTTTTCTATGATCCCACAGACTGGGTAAAGGAGGAGAGAGTCCTGGAGCCCTCAGTGGCTTTTGCAGGTTTTTACTGGGATTTACCAGGTACATGGCAGGTAGGGGTGCGGGGGTGGGGGGCGGGAGGCTGGCAGGCCTCCCAGCCCCCAGCAAGTCTTCACTCTGTCTGGGCTCTCCTTCTCTCTCTCGGTTCAGCTTCTCCACTTCTGCTGGCGTGTCCACGAGGCCGCCCTTAAAAGCCCACTCTTAGCCCAGGTGAATCCCATCTACATATGCCCACACCCTACTCCAGATGCCCACCATCAGGCATGCATTCGGGACCGCAGGGTTTCATCATCCTAATGGCAGGAGGGCAGAAAAGCCTCTGCAGTGTCAATTCGATCCCCGGCCGCCAGGTGAGGGGCCCACTAGGCGCGCAGACCTCTCCTGCCGCGCCCGCTGCTCCCCTCAGCAGTGTACTTCGTCAGTCTGCCTGTTCTGCTCTCCCCTCTGGCTCTGGTGAATTCTCTCACCCTCCCTCGCTTCTGACTGGACCCAGTGCTTGTATAAATAAATAAATCTTTAAAAAAAAAAAAGAATTAGAACTAATGCTTCTGCTTGAGTGACAAATATGTGGGCTAATACTTTGTCTTGAGTGACAAAAATTGGAGAAAAGCCAACTGAAATGGTCTAGGAGGAAGACCAAATGCTAGGAAGGGAGCTAATTACTCAACACTAGGCTAGAGCAGGAGTGGAGGGGATGTGATATACTGATTAGGTAAACTAGCTTTGCCGTCAGCTTTTTTGAATCTAAATTCTGGTATTAACACTTCAAATCTGACTGATGTGTTAAAAAGCACTTCAACTTGTTATGCTTCAGTTTTCTCATCTGAAAATGGGAGGGTGGCATAATATTACCATCCCCATTGAGTTGTTTTTGGAATTACCAATACCTGGCATTATAGAACTTCCCGTAAAGAAATTGATGAATCATATAAAAAAAAATACCAACCCACTGTCACAAATTTGGACAAAATTGTCAAGTATTATTATTTTAGGGCTCAAGAAATAAGTTGAAGCAAAAAACAAACCAGGAGCTTATATTCACACAAAAAAGTGCTAGACTCGGGGTACAAACAGTGGTGGTATTCTATTCCTTTTTTTCCTCAGGATGCCTCTACCCTCCATCCCAGCTTGGTCAACATAGTTTTTATTATAGTGGGCTGGACTTGAAAAAATGTCATCTTAGAACAATGAATGATGGGCCTCCCTGATGGCACAAGGGGTTAAGACGCAACCTATGAAGCTTGTCACAACCACTGCAGCATGAGTTCAATTCCCGGCCAAGGAAATACCCACATGGCCCCACAGGCCTCTCCTGTCTTGCCCACTGCTCCCCTCAGCAGTGTATTTCAGTAGATCTGTCTGTTCTGCTCCCTGCTCTGTCTCTGGTGAATCCTCTCACCTCCTACAACTCTGGCCTGTACCCCAGTTCTTGTATGTATGAATAAATAAATCGTCAAAAAAAAAAAAAAGAACCATGAAGGATGATACCTTGAGCACCTTGAAAACAATGGAATGGAAAAATGAAAAGACCCTCACTTCTTGATAAGATCATGGAGTCATGAAAACAACACTAAAACTTCCAACCTCCAGTCATCTAGCTAATTGAGATAATAAATGTCCTTGTGCTTTAAATCACTCTTAGTTGGGTAAGTATGTTCTTTGTAGAGGTACTATAATATAGTATAGTCATCAAGAGCACACTACCTATGGTCAAATTTCAGTTCTTATGATTTGCCTAGCCATGTGGAAGGGACATTACCTTTTTGACCTTCATTTCTGAAATGGGAATAATAGCTACCTACCTCATTGGTCATTATGATCATTAAGAGTTAATACATGCAAAGAGTTAATACATCATTAAGAGTTATTTTTTTTTTTTTTTATTTTATAGAGGCATGTTTTATTTATTTATTTTGTTTGTTTGTTTGTTTTGTTTATACATGCACTGGGTACAGTCAGAAGCACGGGAGGGTGAGAGAATTCACCAGAGCCAGAGCGGGGAGCAGAGCAGGCAGAAGGACCGAAGTACACTGCTGAGGGGAGCAGCGGGTGGCAGGAGAGGTCTGCGCACCATGTGGGATCCTCCGCCGGTGGCCGGGGAGCAGCCGGGGATCGAACCGGCGCCGCAGAGGCCGCGGGCAGCTTCGCAACCCAGCGCTCAACCGCTGCGCCACCGGGGAGGCCCTCATTAAGAGTTATTAATGCAAATACATTAAGAGTTAATATATCAATAAGAATCACGGAATCAGTGACTGACATAATGTAAACACTCAATATTTATTAGCTATGATTACTTGCCTAAAGCATGTTCACTGATACTCATGGGACATCCACATGAATGTTGGATTCCTCTAATGATTAAGTGCTTCCTTATATAAAATAATACTTTCCTCTGATTTCTACTGGTTTATTCTACATTCTTAAGCAATCACAGATCACTCTCACCGTCTGAATTTTTTTTTTAAACATTTTATTTATTTATTTATACAAGCACTGGGTACAGTCAGAAGCAGGGAAGGGTGAGAGAATTCACCGAGCCAGAGCGGGGAGCAGAGCAGGCAGAAGGACCGAAGTACACTGCTGAGGGGAGCAGTGGGTGGCAGGAGAGGTCTGTGCACCATGTGGGACCTCCTCCGGTGGCCGGGGAGCAGCCGGGGATAGAACCGGTGCTGCAGAGGCTGCGGGCAGCTTCGCAACCCAGCGTTCAACCGCTGCACCATTGGGGAAGCCCCTCACCGTCTGAATTTTTGAACATAGTATAATATAATTGCTATCCCTTCTCCTCCAAAAAAAAAAAATTCTCCTCATGTCATAGCTTCTCAAATTTACCAATGATTTTCATTCATTGTTTCTCCCCCTATGAAATTTCCAATGTGTCTGTTTCTTTCAAGTGTGGTTTTCAGAATTTTCAGCTGAATGGTTTTTATTGAGAGCTTATTACATGCCATATTGCGGGCATCATAATCCACATATTGCAGTCAATTCAGTGGATGGAATTATTTTCCCTGATGAGATCATGAATAATGTATTCATGTAGCCAAAGGATAGCAAATATCTGGCTATTGTTGTCATTTCCCTTTACCAATCATATATCTGGTTGACACTGCTAATAATCTACAACATTTTTCAGGAATTATCTTAGGCAGTGTACCAAGAAGTCACTAAGAAAATTAAACAGAATTCCTCACTTCTGGTAGAAGAGTGCATTAGCATTATATGCAAATTATGAACTAAAATTCAAATTGCTTATGTACCATTCACAAAGTAAGGTCTTTCCATGTTTACTCTACATGTCTAATTGATTTTTAAAATTTTTTACTTTCTGATCTTCATCGATTAAGTGGTTATAACCAAAGTGTTATGATTGACATTTCCACACATTATATATACTTTGTAATCAGGATCAAGGAAAAAGTGACTATAAAGATCAACTAACAGTACTAGGATAACTGATTTCTAGAGCTGCACACACACAGGTTTCCCCCACTATCTGAAAATAAAGCATTCCATTCGGTATGATTTAGAGGGCTATTTTTTGGGTCTTGAAACACTCAAAAATTATTCCATGTAAATGAATGGTAACGCTTCTAAGACACAAAAAGGAACCTATCAAATTACACTAAACACTATAGAAACTATACTTTGGGATAAGAACTCTGTACCACTATTGCTTTTTATAGCTCTATTGAGATATATTCACCCATTACATTTTTTTGTATATTGACAAGAATATACAACCATTATCAAAATCTCTATTAAATTTTCATAATTTCATTTAAAACTCATTTTTCTAAATCCCATAATTCTGCCATTTATATTGTTTCTTCTCATTTGCAAGCACGTACTCTCACTGGTCTAATAAAACTGTATAAGACAGAGCAAAACCATTGCTTCATGGCTTCAGGTTGGGACAAATTTTTAGGTGGAATAACTTAAATAATCTCTGAAACTAACTCAATTATATTAATAGACACCAATGCAGGCAGCATGAGGAATATCACAGAAGCATTACGCCTGTCCATCCAGCTAGTAAAACCCAAAGAAAGAGGTAAGTGCTGACTGGCAAAACTTGTTCTAAATGCAACCATTCTATTTTTCTAAGAACTCACAAATTATGAATCCTGGAATTTGATTAATGACCGATATCAAATCTCCTGGCTCAAATTTTCATGTTCCTTTTTTTAAAGATCAGGTTAATAAGGATTGTTCGTGTCCAATCTCTGGCATCTCCTCATAAGCTGGAAGTTGTTTTATTCATAGCTGTAATGCTTCCTGCACATAGTAGGCTCTCAAAATATATGTTGAGGAAATGAATGACTGCCTTTAGAATGCAGTAACCGCTTTTACTATTTATTTGGTAATAACTGTCATCTGCTAACTTCTGTCAATCAGCCCTTAAGTGGCACTTCCTTCAGGAAGCTGTCCTGATCTCTTCTGATAGGTAAAGCATGGTAGACTCCCTTTCACACGACTCTTATTACTGAGAAAAACATGGAGGAATTTCCATGGTTTTTTTTTTTCACCACGTTCTACTTTGTGTTTCCTCATTCAAAGCTCAGTGTCCATCCACAGTATGTACTTACTGAGTTATTTGTTGAATCAATGAAGTAAACTGGGTTTTGTAATTTGTCTCTGCCTGAAGGTAAGAACACATTCAATGCACCCAGGTGCTTTATACTACCAATTCACCTGTCCTGACTTTCAAGTCTTTTTTTAAACAAAACAAAAAACAATGTTGTTGAGGAATAATTTACATACCGTGTAATTCATCCATTGAGCTCTTTTCACTAATGTTCTTTCTCATTTTCCATGAAGGTCATCTTTCTAATGGTAAAAATAGGAAGAAAATAAAAATGAAATGTGGTGGAATCTTGGTAGAAAATGGACGCCCAGGGCCCAATTTACCAGGGTTTACTCCTCAATTTTACTTTGTATTTGTGATTGTAAGCAGTTAACCTCTCTAAGCCTTGGATATTGATCCATAAAACTGCATTAATAAAGAGTTACTTCACTGGGGCCTCAGGATTAAATGAGATGACATGCAAAAGATCTGATCCACGGTAGAAGTAATATCACAAAATGTAGATTCCCTCCCTTTCATTATCGATTAACCTGGACTCCTAATCAGTAGATCTGTTCTTTCATCATCATCATCATTCTGTTCTGAGCAGATTTTAAAAATTACCTGACCTTCCTGATTCCTTAGTATTTGGCAAGTCCATTTCATTCTGAGGTTTAGCTTTCCTGGCACTATTCTTACAGATTTTTGTCCCTCTTTATTCTCGGACATATATGTGTTTCTCTCCATCGTTTGAATTTGCTAGTAGAAAAAAAAAAAAAAACCCTCTTCCCGCCCCCCCCATCATTAGAGAACAGAGCTTTCTTTAGTTGCTGTTCCTTTTCTTCTTCACTAGGAGTATTCTATTGTGAACTCAGAATTTTATTTTTCAAAGCTTCTTTTTCTTTCTTTTTTTAATGCTTTTTCTTTTACAGCCTTTCATCTCAAAATACTACCTGTCTTCTCGCTTGAATTGCTTCCTAAAGTCTCTGACCACCTACCTTCTGTGTGTGTGTGTGTTCTATTACGGTCACGTCCCCCAGGTTTCTACCGCTTACCCATGACCGACCAATTCTTCCCCGGGTGTCACATTACATCAGCATTACTAATACAATATCTGCTATATTCTAGACTATGTTTTATTTTAGGCAGTCAATTAAAATCGAACCTCGGCTCTGATTTAATTTAACATGGAGGATAAATAGTCTAAGGTCAAGCACAAACTGCTACGAGATTTGGGAGACATGTTTATATTCATATTAAATAGATACCTGTTGAATTTGGGCTTTTTCTCAATGCTTCACAGACCCTTAGGCTTTGAGTAATTAGGATAGTAGAAACGGTGGGTTTCCAGAAACTTCACAAAAAATTTAATTCCATCCAAAGGACTGCTACCTACACTCAAGGAACACCCACCAACAAAACCCGTCTCCACAACCACAGATTTTCTCACCCGCAAGTCAGACTGCAAGGTTTGGGGGCCCGGCCGTACCACTCTGCACTGCGTAAGGGGGGATTCGTGCCCAATTGGCCACGACCGACGGTTTTCCCCTCGCTTGGTTTTGCCCCTGCTCCCCCCGCGCAGGCACCCACAGTGCGTCAGGCCGGCGCTTTATAGAGGCAGCCTGGGCGGCTCCGCTCGCTGTTTTTCCTCTTCTCCGGTTCGTGGCTCCTTCGGCGACTCGCCAAGATGCAGCTCAAACCGATGGAGATCAACCCCGAGGTGAGCGCAGGTGCACCGCGGCCCGGGGCGCGCAGGGCCGAGGGGCCCCTTCGGCTGGCAGGTGTATCGCCGACTGGTTTGATTTCTGTATTTCTTTGCATTTGCTTTTCAGATGCTGAACAAAGTGAGTGGCGTCTCTCACCGCCTCTGCCCCCCTCCCGCGGGAGCGCCGGGGCGGAGGCGCCCCCGGCCCCGGTTGTTTCGCAGGGATGGAGCGGCGCCCTGCGCCTTCCAGATGCGGCCGGGTGGGGCGCGGTCTGGCCGCCCGCCTCTGCCCCGGCATCTGTGGGGCCAAGTGACTGCGAACCCGGAGGGATGGGCTGGTGGGGGCGGCACCCCGCGAGCGCCAGGCCGAGCCCCGGAGGGCGTGGCGCGGGGCGCACGGACTCGGGTGCCCGGGCTTCGCGGGAGCCACGTGTGGGCCCCGCTTTGTGCTGTGTCATTGCGCCCGCCGGGTGGGGATGGAGGCGGGGCAGGGCGGGGCTCCTCCCAGGGCTCGGGAGGGGTCGCGGGGGCGCGCCAACCGGCCCCGCCCTCGCCCCCCGAGCGCGCCCCAGACAGGTGCCCGCGACGTGCCGGTGCGCGCGCGCCTGGCCGCCCTGTCTCCTCTCCGCAGGTGCTGGCCCGGCTGGGGGTCGCCGGCCAGTGGCGCTTCGCTGATGTGCTGGGGCTGGAAGAGGAGGCCCTGGGCTCCGTGCCAGCGCCTGCCTGCGCGCTGCTGCTGCTGTTTCCCCTCACCGCCCAGGTAAGGCGTGGGGTCTGGGGCGCGCCGCCCCCCCGACGGTGCGCGATGCGATGTTCCCAAACCCGAGGGAGGCGTGGGGGGCATGTTGATAGACTCCGGTTCCCCTCGCCGCTTCGCCTGGTGTCCAGACCTAGCAAAACGGTTCCCTCCCTCCGGGGCATACAGGGTGCGCCTCCCTGGGAGGGAGGGGCAGATACTTTTCTGGTACCTACTCTGGAGCTGTGTTGTAATAGCGTTTATTGCCTCCTTGCTCATCCGCACAGATTGCCTTGAATTTATAAGTGAAGCAGCATTTCAGTTCCTGCATCCCAGTTTCTCCAGGAAAATAACTCCGCCTACTCATGAGATCGCTAGAATCTAGGCTTTTCCGAGCCTTCCACTCCAAGGAGTGGTCCTTAGAAGCCAATTTATTGTTTGGTTCTCAGATTCCCACCTTGCTATAAAATGGAGGGGAATGGCTTGCTAAGTCACAAGAAAACAATGGGGGTTCTCTAATTCTCCACCTCCGCTGCTGAGTTTCCGGTGGACTAGTCTTCCCATCCATCCACTCAACATGCGCACTTGGTTTTTAGCCTTTAGAAAGAAAGATAGAAAAAAAAAAAACCCAAACAACCAATACCTGTGGTTGTGAGGGAGGGAGCCTCCTTCCTGTCTCTTATCTTTTGTCTCTGATCTTGTAGCTAAATGAAATAGGTGGGCATTAGAGCAGTCTTAGAAATACCTTTTCATTTCCCTTTAGATGGTCTTCCTCCTACAAGTGTGCATGGATATATGTACCTCAAACGCTGAACATCAAATATAAAAAGGTAGCTGGGATAATTGTTGTCTTGCGATGTATGGAATCCCACTAATTAGCATGGCATTGTCTACCCATTGCTTTCACTTGACCCCTGATTTGGGCATGGTTGAAATTAGCTAAAGTTGGGACACTAGCTTCACTGAATCTAGACAGAGTGAGGCCCTCTCCTAAGGTTGGGTGTTTTGGAGTCATTGTCAGTATGGGTTAAGCCCTCTGGAAAATTCCACGGCTTGCAAATCCGTGGACTAAGATTACTGGGTTAAAACACTTACACTGTTAGGATGAACCCACTGACATGTTTTGATTATCAAAACTTTTACTTAGAGAATAACAGTTGCCAAGTAACTGCAAGTCAAATTAGCATCCCTGTTGTCCAGAGCAAATGCAGCCACCTCCCTCTCTCTCCAGCCTCTCACCGACCTTTCTTGTTAGAGAAACCATGATGACTCGCAGGTTTTGAACAGCACTCAGGCCAGGCCTCTGGGAGGCAGTGGTGCAGCATGTTTTTACTTCAAAAGCCCACTGGGCTCCTTTTTCTAGATGAAGTCACTCTTGTTTTAGAGAACATTCTGGTTTGAATATTTCGTTTCAAAGAGCTCACTACTTTGTCCTTTAGCACCAGTTCAATATATTAGATCTGGCCATGTAAAACAGCTACTAGGCAGAACACTGCAGGAAATTCAAAGAAAACTTGAGGTTTACAGGTTGATTTCCAAGCAGGCTAATGTTATTTTAGAAAGCATCTATTTATCTAAAAGTTAGAATTTCGAATACTATAAAATCCCAAACAGACCACTTCTAAAACATTCATTTTAAGCAACAATGAAATAATTACATAAGAGTCCCCATGTAAAAGTAAAAAAAAAACCTTAAAGGGTGGTGTTATCCCATTAATCATTTAATTAATGTAGAAAAGTGAAAATCCTTCTCAGTCAATGAGCAGCTCAGGTAATTCAAGGATCTGGTAGATAATAATGCTAGAACTTCCTCCTAGTTAGAATTAAGTTGATCTTGTGGGACAAGAGCTCTTTAGGCACCTGGTGGTGCCACAGACCAGGCTTTAACTTCATTTTATATACAAGCTGCTAGAATTGGAAATGTTTCTGGTCTGCAATTTGAATTTCATTAGTCATGGGGAATTAGCTTCTATACTATTAGCACCCTGCTAATACTTTTCACTGAGAAGTCATACTTTTTAAGGTCTTTAAAACCTAGCTAGTGAAAGCTTAAGACAAGTCCACTAAATTATTGTACACAGAGCTAACAGCTGCTTTAAGGAAAACTATCCAGTCTCTTTCATTTATTCACACCACCTGCAATTGTTTATCTGCCCTTCATTACACCATCTGGCAAAGACAACCTATCACACCATCTTGTAGGATGATATATTTTTGTGAAATTGCAGCCCAATAACCTAGTCTTTTATCTAAAAATATGGGGAGAGGGAATAGTTGAATTTTTTTTGAACTGTATCTTCAATTAAGGCTTTTTTGAAGTACACTTAGAAGTAGATCCTTAAATAGTGAAGTATAAACTGGTTGATGTTCTTGTTGGAGGGTAAATTGACCAAAGCTTAATTGCAATGCCTACGTGAAACAGTTGTTGTTGGTGTGAAAGGGAGGAAAGAATGAACTTGTCTGCTTTTCTGACTTCCTGACGCCATCCATTTCAAGTGGAAAGGTTGCAGTGGTGTCTAGACAAAGCCTTGGGTAGTATCCAAGGCCAGTGCTGCACTGCAGCATCAGGGTGGAGTCTCGGAACCTCTGAGAACCCCATGGGCTGGCGTGGGAGGCAGACAGGCCATGCTCTGGTGCTGGGCAGCAACTCCAACCAAGGCTCCTGGTCACACATCCCACTTGTGTTTCAATTTAGGTGGTAGAACTCGCTGTGCTGCCATCTGTTCTTACATTTTCAGTCGAAGATACAAAAGTGTTTTTTTTATATCCCAGCATGAGAACTTCAGAAAAAAACAGATTGAAGAACTGAAGGGACAAGAAGTCAGCCCTAAAGTATACTTCATGAAGCAGACCATTGGGAACTCCTGTGGTACCATAGGACTCATCCATGCAGTGGCCAATAATAAGGACAAACTAGAATTTGGTAAGTGGGTTTGGAAATTGTTGACCTCTAGTTAACTATAAACTTTAATTCCTAGGGTCTATTCAGCAAAGCCATTGCTTTAGAAATTTTTGATGTCTACTTCTCCAGTTAGAAATAGCAGGTAAATCCATGTTTCCTTTTTACCGGGAAACTTTATCCAAGAAGCCTGGTTTGGTTTCTTCTTGTAGAGGAAGAGTTAATGCTATGCAGTTTTATACTGCTTCTCTGCAGAAGCTCTTCCATTCACAGACAGCTTTGATGGATGTGAAGCAAAGGAAAAAGAACCCTCGAGGGTCCATTATTATAGTGACTCTCACATGTTCCTGTTAAATTTTAAAAAATAAGTGTAAGCCTTAAAATGTCAACAATTAGGACCTATTTTTAATGGTTGTATGTTTTATAAGCAACATAATCAAATAGCTTAGGGCACCTAAACAGATATTACGTGATAAATTCCTGCAGGCAAGCAGGTTGAAACCTTGAAAGATCAACTGAACAAAGTCAGGTCAAGGGCTTTAATTCACCTCTGATGCACAAGGTGGAGGATGTAGAAGAAAAGAGTTTAAACACAATTAACATCTCTAAGATATGTTAAAGTGCATGGCCCATCATGTGTGATTTAGACCAAGAGTCCGTAATCGTAAAAGTCCAGAGTGTAAATAGCTTAGGCTTTGAGGATCATCTGGTCTCTGCCCTCATAATGCAAAAGCAGCCATAGACAACATGCAAACCATGGGATGTGACTGTTTTCAATAAAACTTTATTTATAGAAGTAGGTAGTAGTAGTTTGTCAACTCCAGATTTAGCCTGTGGGTTGGGGTGTCTTAAGAACTGAATAACTTCAATAGTTCATACTATTACTCATAGCAGGTAAATACCTTTAAAAAAATACTAAGACAGGGCCTCCCCGATGGCGCAGCGGTTGAGCACTGGGTTGTGAAGCTGCCCGCGGCCTCTGCAGCGCTGGTTCGATCCACGGCTGCTCCCCGGCCACTGGAGGAGGGTCCCGCATGGCGCGCAGACCTCTCCTGCCGCCCATTGCTCCCCTCAGCAGTGTACCTCGGTCCTTCTGCCTGCTCTGCTCCCTGCTCTGGCTCTGGTGAATTCTCTCACCCTCCCGCTTCTGACTGTACCCAGTGCTTGTATAAATAAATAAATAAAAATAAATCTTAAAAAAAAAAAAAAATACTAAGACAACATTGAGTTGGGAACACACCAGCACGTCCCCAGGGACACACTGAGGGGACCAAGTTGTGGAGCAGGTTTGCAAGGCAAACGTCTTGCTATTTATTAGCAGTAATAAGCAAGCATGATTGATTATGTGACAATGACCAGGAGGAACAG